CTGACTCCGCAAGACTCGAGGATTCTTTTTTTTTTTTTCCAGCTTCAGTTAATTTTATTTCCTTAGTTTTTTAAAATTTAAATTCAATTAAATTAACATTTAGTGGTAGTTTCAGGGGTAGAGGTCAGTGATTCATCAGTTGCGTACAACACCCAGTGCTTGTTACATCCCGTGCCCTCCTCAATGTCCATCACCCGGCTACCCCACCCCCCAGCCCCCTCCCTTCTGAAACCCTCTGCTGTTTCCCGGAGTCCAGGGTCTCTCACGGTTCGCCTCCCTCTCCTTCCCCTTTAGTTTTCCCTCCCTTCCCCTGTGGTCCTTCCTCCCCGCTATTCCTTATGCTGCACATGTGAGTGGATCATATGGTGTTTAGGACTCAAGGGTCCTTTAACAGCCTGGAGGAGGGGCTGGTTGCCTCGGTGCCCTTCCCGCTCTTGGGCAGAATCCGGAGCCTCCACCAAGGATGGGTTGCTTTCAGCAGCAGCTCCTAAGGTGTTTGCTGAGTTCTCCGAGTCTCCCGAGTCTCGCATCTTGGGGCCCTGCTCCCTCGACCTTGCTTTTCATAATTCCAGAGATACCTTAAGGCTCAGTATTAGACGTTCTGTTCTTACTTCTTTGACATTTTCCTGGCAAGCCTCCTTCCTGGGCCCCCTGGCCCGGGCTGCCCTGCAGGCTGACTCTCCTGGGCTAGACCCTTCTTCCTCTTGCACCGCTGGATGCCCCTTTCCCCTCCCAGACCTACGCATTGACAGTTAACTTGCCTTAGCCAGAAATCTCTTGTCCTGAGGAATTACAATGCCCGCTTTAAAGCTATCCTTTTTATTTTTAGTTACGTTTTTTATTTGATTTATTTACCTTTAAAGTAGGCTCCATGTCCAGCATGGAGCCCAACGCCGAGCCCAACATGGGGCCCGACCTCAGGACCCTGAGATCATGACCTGAGCGGAGATCCAGAGTTGGGCGCTCCACGGACTGAGCCACCAAGGTGCCCCCAAGTTCTTTATTTTAATTCCACTGTAGTTAACACAGGGTCCTATTAGTTTCAGGTGTACGGTACAGCGATTCAGCAATTCTATACATCACTCAGTGCTCATCCTGATAAGTGTCTTCTCTAATCCCCACCGCCTATTTCAACCATCCCCCCTGCCCTCCGTGAAGCCATCCTTTTAAAAAAGAAATATTGCAGGGCCCCCTGGGTCCTGGCAGCGTTGTCCGGTCCAGGGAAGGGCATGGAGCTGCGCCCTGTGTTGGGGGACAGCGCCCCCTGCGGCCCACGGAGAGACAGGGCCACGCACAGCTGAAGGACGCCCTCCTTTGCCTGTTCCAGGCTGTGGGTCAGGTAATCCAGGTAAGAATAATTCAGAAGGTACCTTGAATTTGAGGTGGTGATGATGCATCCAAGAATCAGTACGGAGACCAGGAGCAGAGGGAAGGATCTGGATGGCCCTGTGGCTCAGGGGGGCCACAGGCTCATGTAAGCTCCACCGCCAAGGGGCAGAGTGCACGGCTGGATGTGGCCTCCCCTGGAGGGCCGCCCTCTCTGAGGCCTGCACATGTGCAGTGGGCAGCCTGCCCAGCTGTCCGTGGGGGCCCCGAAGGGATGAAGAGTGAGCGGTCGGGAAGGCCTCAGGCAGGAAACCGGCTGAGCGGGGCTCAAGCTGATGTGAGTAGCTAGGGTGGCCGCAAGGAGGATGCAGGGAAGCCTCCGACTGAGGCAGCAACAGGGGGCCAAGCAGAGGGAAAAGATGCAAATCACCTGACTCCTGGCTGCAATATTTTACAGGAGCTAAAATCGTTCAAAAACATATTAAGCACCTACTCTGTGCAGGAGCTAGGCCACATAGGCCTGAGACGGGGTAATAATAGCATCCTCCAATAACTGCACCTCCATTCCCAGCTGGGACACCTGACCCACTGTCCGGGATGCAGGCCGAAGGGCCCCAAACAGGGAGCTCTAAACCTCTGGAATTAGAGGACCATGATTCAGGCTTTTTTTTTTTTTTTTTTTAAGATTTTATTTATTTATTTGACAGAGAGAGAGCACGCACAAGCAGGGGGAGCAGCAGAGGGAGAGGGAGAAGCAGACTTTCCACTGAGCAGGGAGCCCGACAGGGGACTCGATCCCAGGACCCTGGGATCATGATCTGAGCCGAAGGCAGACACTCAACGACTGAGCCACCAGGTGCCTTGACGCCCAGACGTTTTGCTGAGTCTAGAATTCTTTTCATTCTAGTGACCGATTGTCCCTCTTCTAAATCATGTGAAAACTTAAGTAATGGTTTAAACTTTGTTCCAAGTTAAAATGTGCAGGTGGGGTCCCCGCCCTGTCCTCTACTCACCCAGACATCTGATTTCAGTGTCATTTTAAAGGGATTTTCTTCATGTGAGTGAGATTGAGCATCTTCTTATGAGTTATTTTGTAGTTTTTCTATGAAGTGTCCATTTACTCTGCCCAATTTTCTACCTAAAGTTAATATTACTTTTGTGTTTGTAAGCACTCTTGCTATGTCGGCAAATCAGCCCTTGAATCTGATGATAGTTGTAAACATGTTTGTTTTTACGATTTCATTTGGTCATTCGTCTCTTGACATTGCGTTTGTGGTTTTTTTCCGTGGAAAGATTTAAGAAACTATTTACTACTGAAGCATAGTGGACAAGAGTGTTACTGCGTTTCAGGCGCACAACATGGAGGATGGACAGTCACGCGCAGCACGCGCGGCTCATCACCACGAGTGCCGTCACCGTGTGTCCCCACGCAATATCATCTCAGGGTCCTGACCGAACTCCCTCCATGCACATCTTTCTAGATGGGGCTGACTCTGTCTTTCCTTGCACGATGTCTTCACTGAAACGTTCTTAAGCTGGTGTGAACTCAGCTAGAGTGGACCCCTGCCTTGCAGTTGTTCAGTTAGCCGGTAGGAAAATCAAGAGAGCACCGAGGGGTTGTAGACACTACCAGATGGTCTAAGGTGTGGTTCTTCCCGTCTGTCCAGAATCCAGCTGTTGGTCCCCCATCCACTTATGAAGCCTGTGCTGAGCTCTAAGACACGACATTCTGTGGTGAGGGAGCCTGTGCTCAGCACAACGCACATCGGGACCTGGGTCCCAGCTCTCCGTTTGCCCCAAGGGGCCGTGGGCAGGTTCCCCATCTCACGTCATGAAAGAGGACAGAAATGTGGAAGGATCAAGGGTTAGAGGCTGAAGAACAGATTCGGTCAGGTGGAGCTTGGGTCCAGTCCTGGATTGCTGATTTCAGCAGGTGAGATCTCAGGTCTGCCACGTTTCAGAGGGAGGTCACTGGACTGAGCAAGTGAAGGAGCGGAAGGGGCTCCATGCTGGATGTTCAGGGGGTGGGTGGGGAGAAGCTGGGGGCCTCCTGCACACAGCCCCCGTGCATGCGTGTGCATTTCGAGAGGCAGCTCTGTGGAGGCCGGCTTGGAAGAGGAGAGTGGGCACGAGCTCCCCAGCTCAGGGAAGCCACGCAATGAGGTGGTGCGTGCAGTGAGGAGGATGCCACCCCACCCATGCGCGGAGCTTCCCGGGAGCTGCCTCCTCGGAGCGGAAGTCAAGGACCTGGGCAGCAGGCCAGGGCCAGTGGGGGAGAGGGGCTACGGAGTGAGGCTCTCCCAAGAACCTCGGACTTTTGCAGCATCTGTGGCAGCTGTTTTCGTTTCTTAGAGATTTCATTTTTAAGTCATTTCTATACCCCACGAGGGGCTTGGACTCAGGGTTAAGAGTCGCAGGCTCCAGCGACGGAGCCAGCCCGGCACCCTCCTGTCAGCCTCTATCAGCAGGACCCCCGGGCAGCCTGGTGTCAGGGCGGGGGTCAGCCCCAAGACAGTGGGCGGGGCTGTCCCGGGGTCGTGCGTAGATGCGGGCTTCGGGGACACTGGACCCGGGGCTGCACAAGCTGGGGTTCTGGGGAGTGTTCACGCTGACAGTTGGCTCTCACTTGTGTCATATTCACACTGAACGCACCGAGACCTTCCTCCTCCCTGTGTGCAAACAAGCCACACCTTCTCCAGCCAACATCCACCTCATCTGTCTGCTACCCTAGACCCGTCACCTGGCCCCGCGAGCTTCACCTTCCTGGCAATCCAGTGTTTCCAGAGAGGGGAGGCTCCTCACCTCTCCCCAGTGTTCCCGACACACGGGCGTTGTCCAAACTGGCACTCGGGAAAGAGAGCCGTTCACCTGCTGGCCCTCTGTCCAGACAGCCCGGAAGACGTCCTGGAGTGGAGCACAAGGGAGCTTCTCGGGAGGAGGACCAGGCAAGCGGTTTGGGGATGCGGGAGTGAGGATGTTTAAGACAAGTGCGGCCGTCTTGGCCCCTCTTTGGAGACACTCTGAAAGGAAGGGAAAAGGCCTTCAGACTTCGCACAGGTCCCTGGTCTGCTCCATATGCCCTGTTCTCTTTCTCGCTCACCGTGGAATCCATGTAACCCCAGAAAGGATGTTGGCTGAGAGAAAGAGACACGGATGCAACGCCTGGACTCGGTGGCAGTAGCCGAATTCTTGGGCTGTTGCCACGAGCCTCCTGCTGTCCCGTGTGGGGGAGGACACGCCGAGCCCCTGCCGCACTGTCTCCACCTCGGGCCCGTCAGCAAAGTCGACCAGCTTCAAAGTTCATGACGCTCTGGCCTTGTCACTCTGAGCTGAGCAAACACAGAAAGCTCTGAGAGGAAAACAGTGGCTTCCGAATCGCCGGTTTGCTCCCGACGTGTGACAAATAAGAAGAGATTTTCAGTGGCTGGAGGGAGCGCGTCAAGGCTGAGCAGAGAGCTTTGCCACGGGTGCACACTGGGGCGTGCGTGGTCGGGCTGTGTTCCAGCCACATAGAGAGCAGGCAGTTGCCTGACGTTGGGGGCCGAGCCGAGCTCTCTTCACTGCTGGGGGGGCTGCCCCCCCAGCTGGGCCTTCTTGTCTGGACTGCCTTGGTTCAGGCCCTCCAAAACCCAGCGGGAGAAGGAGGCCCTGGGGCCAGGAGGCTGGCAGAGGCCATGGTTCCCCCACAGGAGGATGGCTGGGGAGAGGGCGTCTGCCCCATCTGCCAGGAGCTCCCGAAGGACGCTGTGAGCACCGAGTGCGGACACCACTTCTGTCGAGGGTGCCTGGCTCGGCACGTGGTGAAGGCCTCAGCCTCCGGAGTCCTCCGCTGTCCCCTGTGCCGGAAGCCCTGTTCCGAGGGGGTGCTGGGGGCGGGCTACCTCTGCTCCAGCCACCAGAAGAAGGTGTGCTATTTCTGTGAGGAGAGCAGACTTCTTCTGTGCGGGGAGTGCCTGGTGTCGCCTGAGCACCAGGGGCACCATGAGCTGGCCATTGAAGACGCGCTCAGCCACTACAAGGTAAGGCCAGGCCACCACCTGCCCCAGAGCTCCCTCCTACCCTCTGCCCACACGTAGGCTCCGGAACTGACAGTTTCCTGGTTCTTCTGCTTCATCCTACTTTGGACCCTTGCCCTGACGTTTCCACCATATACGTGTCAGTGCATTGATAGGAGTCTGAGCAGTGCTGTCTCTGTGGTGATGCATTCCCAGGAAGTGTGCTTTGCCCTCAGTTTGCTCATCTGTAGGATGGACTTGAGCCTGAGAATGCACAGATCTTTCAGGCCTAGACTACATGGTTCCCCTGCCTGATAGAACTAGAAATTTGGTGGGAGATGTAATCAGCTTTTGCATATGCTGATAATTATCCTGCAAATATATATATATTTCATGAGACTTTTGTAACTATGGTTTTTAAAATTTAAACTCCAGTAGAGTTAACATACGGTGTAATGTTAGTTTCAGGTGTGCAATGTAGTGATTCATCATCTCCATACGTGGCCCCATGCGTGTCCCAACAAGTGCTCTCCTTCATCCCCATCACGTTTCCCCCACTCACCTCCCCTCGGGTGATCAGGGTGTTCTCCAGAGTTCACAGTCTGTTTTATGGTTTCCTCTCTCTCTTTCCTTTGCTCATTTGTTTTGTTTCTCAAATACCACACAGGAGTGAAATCATATGGCATTTGCCTGTCCTGAAAATATATTGAAGCCTGGAAATTAAGTACATGATTCTCTCTTTTACCTCTTCCTTTGTCTTCCTCCCTCGCTTCCTTCCTTCCTATAGTGGTTATTTTTATCCTATTTAATTTATTATCATAAAAGTTACATGCTCTTGGTAATACATTCAGCCAACACTGTAAGGTATGAAGTCAAAATAAAAATCTTCCTGCTTCCCGAAGGTAACCACCGTTAGGTTTTTGTGTATCACCCTTCCAGAGAACTGTGCATGTGAACGCACTCTTTAACACTCCCCCACCGTGGATTCTCCATTTTTTTTTTGTAACTCATTTTTGTCGTCTATAAGTACATCTTGGACATTTTCCCATTTTCCTATCAGTGTGTATAGATAAATTCTTATGAAGTCTTTCTTAACCACCACACGGTACTCAATTCTGAGTGCGTGAACTGGCGGACATTGAGTTAGTTCAAGGTTATTGTTTTGTCTTGAGATCGCATAGAATGTTTCAGTGAACATCCTTCAACACATGTTTTAGAGGACTCAGCGTATCCAAGATAACATTTTGGTGACAGTGTGAGTTACCTTCCAAGTGAGGATGGTTTTTCCCGTCCCAGTTTATTGAATCATCCAGAGTTGCCCCACGGATTTGGATCCCTGCTTCATAGGCACATATAGCTGCATGTTTTCCTGACTCCCTCTTCTGCCCTGTCCTTCTGTCTCTTCCTGCCTGTGTGTCCAAGCATTTGAAATACACACCTTTGCAACGTGTATTAACGTCAGGTAGGTCTTAGAACCCTCATGATACTCTGATATGTTAGATTTTTTGTGGATATTCATTATGTTTATTTTGCCCCTTGGCTTTATCATTATTTTTACAAACCTGCCCACCCTCCAACCCCAATCCGGTTAGTATTTGATTGGGTGGAAAACTGACATATTTTCACCAGGGTGTCTTTCTGTCCAGTAATGAAAGATGAATATTCAGAATCTTCCTTTAGATACTTTACTTTTTGAGAACGTGTTCTGATATAGGAGAAGGGGGAGTCTAGGTTGGAGGGGAGGATGGGAAGTGGAGACATAATTTAGAAAGCCAGGGAGGCCAGGTTCCCTCAGTGCAGGGCACAGGGAGAGGTCTCCCACCACTCATGAGCCCGGCACAATCACTCAGTGATTTATTCAGCTCTGTGCTCTGTGTAGGATGTTGCATGGTGTTGCAGGAAGCAGAGGTGATTCAGAATCCTTGTCCTTGGGTCTGCCTTTAAATTATGACAGGAAGCCTGAAATTAACAATATTTGTTCACTTGCGAAAGACTTAAAGAAATTCCTGGAGTGTGTCAGAAATGACCATATATGCTGGGAATACGATGGACAAGACAGATGCCATCCCTGCTGTGAGGGTTCTGCAGCTGAGGGAGGGAGACAGACAAGAAGTCAAGCAAACTGTGAGTTTTTTTATGAGCTAGGAGGAAAATAAACAAGGGTCGGACATGGAGTAATGGTGGCCTTTGTCTGTAGTGTCCTTTGCAAATACCTTCTCCCATTCTGTGGGTTGCCTCTGAGTTTTGTTGACTGTTTCCTTTGCTGTGCAGAAGGTTTTTATCTTGATGAAGTCCCAAAAGTTCATTTTTGCTTTTGTTTCCCTTGCCTTGGAGACGTGTCTAGCAAGAAGTAGCTGCAGCTAAGGTCACAGAGGTTGCTGCCTGTGTTCTCCTCTAGGATTTTTTTTTAAGAGTTTATTTATTTATTTGAGAGAGAGAGAGATTAGGAGAACGAGAGGGAGGAGGGGCAGAGGGAGAAGCAGGCTTCCCGCTGAGCAGGGAGCCCAATGCGGGACTCAATCCCAGGACCCTGGGATTGTGACCTGAGCCAAAGGCAGACGCTTAACGACTGAGCCACCCAGGCGCCCTCTCCTCTAGGATTTTGATGGATTCCTGCCTCACATTTAGGTCTTTCACCCAGTTTGAATTTATTTTTTGTATATGGTGTAAAAAAGTGGTCCAGTTTCATTCTTCTGCATGTGGCTGTCCAATTTTCCCAACACCATTTGTTGAAGAGACTGTCTTTTTTCCATGGACATTCTTTCCTGCTTTGTCAAAGATGAGTTGACCATAGAGTTGAGGGTCCATTTCTGGGCTCTCTATTCTGTTCCATTGATCGATGTGTCTGTTTTTGTGCCAGTACCATAATGTCTTGATGATGACAGCTTTGTAATAGAGCTGGAAGTCCGGAATTGTGATGCCGCCAGCTTTGCTTATCTTTTTCAACATTCCTCTGGTGATTCAGGGTCTTTTCTGGTTCCATACAAATTTTAGGATTGTTCCAGCTCTGTAAAAAATGTTGATGGTATTTTGATAGGGATTGCATTGAATGTGTAGATTGCTTTGGGTAGTATAGACATTTTAACAAGGTTTATTATGATATGGTGTCCTTCTTCATCTCTTATTACAGTCTTTGGTTTAAAATCTAGTTTGTTTGATATGAGGATTGCTACTCCAGCTTTCTTTTGATATCCTATTAGCATGATAAATGGCTCCACCCCCTCACTTTCAATCTGGAGGTGTCTTTGGGTCAAAAGTGAGTCTCTTGTGGACAAGATATCAATGGATCTTACTTTTTTGTCCAATCTCCTACCCTATGTCTTTTGATTGGAGCATTTAGTCCATTTACGCGGAGTGACTATTGCAAGATACGAATTTAGTGCCATTGTATTGCCTATAAGGTGACCGTTACTGTATATTGTCTGTGTTCCTTTCTGGTCTATGTTACTTTTAGGCTCTTTCTTTGCTTAGAGGACCCCTTTCAATATTTCTTGTAGGGCTGGTTTGGTGTTTGCAAATTCTTTTAGGTTTTGTTTGTCCTGGAAGCTTTTTATCTCTCCATTTTCAATGACAGCCTAGCTGGACATAGTATTCTTGGCTGCATATTTTTCTCATTTAGTGCCCTAAATATATCATGCCAGTCCTTTCCAGCCTGCAGGTCTCTGTGGTCAGGTCAGCTGCCAGCCTAATGTGTCTACTCTTGTAGGTTAAGGACCTCTTGTCCCAAGCTACTTTTAGGATCTTCTCTTTATCTCTGAAATTTGCAAGTTTCACTCTACTATGTCATAGTGATAACCTATTTTTGTTGATTTTGAGGGGAGTTCTCTGTACCTCTTGGACGAATGCCTGTTTCCTTTCCTAGATTAGGGAAGTTCTCAGCTATAATTTGTTCAAGTAAACCTTCTTCCCCCTTTCCCTGCTCTTCTTCTTCTGGGACTCCTATAATAGGGATATTATTTTGCTTTATGGAATCACTTAGTTCCCTAAGTCTACCTTTGTGATCTAATAGTTTTCTTTCCCTCTTCATTGCAGCTTCATTATTTCTCATCATTTTATCTTCGGTATCACTGATTCACTCTTCTGATTCGTTCATCCTTGTTTTTATGGCTTCCACTTGGGACTGCATATCGGTTGTAGCATTTTTAATTTCAGCCTGACTAGATTTTAGTTCTTTTATCTCTGCAGTAAGGGATTCTCTAGTGTCTTCTATGCTTTTTCAAGCCCAGCTATTATCCTTATAATCATTGTTTTAAATTCTAAGTTCAGACATTACTTACATCTGCATTGATTAAATCTCTGGCTGTCATTTCTTCCTGTTCTTTCTTTTGGAGTGAATTCCTCCATCTTGTCATTTTGGAGGAAATAAAAAAGAAAGAAAAAATAGAAAAAAGAAATAAGAATAAAAAAATAAAAAATAAAAATGAAAAAATTAAAAAAAAATTTAAAATAACATAAGATAAAATAATATACATATAGGAAGCTAGTACCTAGGTGTGTTTTGGTCTGCTTGTTATGAGAAGCTTGTTAGAAGAAAGGTAGAAAGAAAGAAAAGAAAAGGAAAAGAAGAAAAAAATTAAAAACTAACATATATATAGATGTATAACTAATATATGTATAAAAACTATATATATATAAAATACAACAAAAAGTTTAAAAATGCTCTTTCTGTATTATAACATTCATTTTCAGGCAGTTAGTATTGTAGATTCAAATGAGAGTCTGCTGGGCTCATATTTCCTGTAAGCTACTTTCCGGACCTTTTCTAGATGCACGGTCATGTGGACATTGTCGGGCTTGGTCATCAACACCATTCCCCCTCATAAAATGTAATGGGTGATTTCATTCTTATTCATATTTTGGGACACTTTTGGCTTCATAGGGAGCATATTTTTGAAAGTTGGTAATTTGTTTTGGCTACTGTATTAGGAAAATGTAAATTTTGGTCTGTTAGCCACTTCTGTTATGCATTTTGTGAACAAAGCTTTTGAGAAGGAATTTCAATGTTGCTAGATTCTCACATTTCATTACTACTCAGTGCCCTTTTCGGTCAGTTTTTCTTACTGTGAAACCACATTTTATCTCATATCTGATAGGATCACAAACGTTTAAAAATATTCATTATGACAAAAGAGGTCTTGCACTATTCCCTGTATTTCAATCTGTCCTTTTTTTCCTGTGGGATATTTTAGGAAAGCAAAAGTTTATACAATTTTGATTTTTAATTCTAATGAGTGCATATTCGTATGACATTCACCTACTAAATATTATTTTAATGCAAAAATGGAGGGATCCATTAAAAAAAGTGGACTTTACCTTATTCATTTGAATATTGGCAATGATAGGTCTGTATTATCTTTGATTATTTCATGCATTTATCTTTATTACTACCTTTGCTTTCTTTTTTCACTTACACAATGTTTGCAGTTGACTTCAAACTTTTTATTAAAGTTTTAAACTATATAAGCAGAGGGGGAGAAAAACCATGAGAGACTCTTAATCATAAGAAACAAACTGAGGGCTGCTGGAGGGGAGGGGGGTGAGGGGATGGGGTAACTGGGGGATGGGCATTAAGGAGGGACCTGCTGTGATGAGCACTGGGTGTCATACACAACTGATGAATTATTGAACACTACATTTGAAACCAATGATATACTATATGTTGGCTAATTGAATTTAAATTAAAAAAATAAATTTTAAACTATACCAGGAGGTAAGACTGTGGCTTTTCACCTGGATCTTGAGAATCGGCCTGATTCTGACAGGCAGAAACAGGTAGCATTCCTGGCAGAGGGAAGTCGGCGATAAGGCTAGAGGGGGTGTGGCCGCATGGGGTGTGTTCAGGAAGCCACACATAATTCCTTTGGTTAGTGGGGAGCCTGGGGGAAGGTGGGGGGAAGCACTGGGAATGGAGAGTGGGGTCAGGTCCCAGAGAGCCTTGGACACGGGGTTAAGGAGTTTGGGCTTATCTTTGGTAATGAGAAGTCATTTTGAAGAGAGGAATAACATGGGTCAAAGATGAAATATGACTGAGGTGTCCAGCAGGAGGACAGCAGATGGTGAGTCCAATGACAGAGCAGTGGACTGCACAGAAGAGTGGCGAACAGGATGATGCTTGATGTTCCATATTGACTTTGAGCTGCTGATAGGGCAGTAGGAGAGACTTAGCTCTCAGCTGGAAACATGGGATCGACTGTTAGGGGAAAATATCTGTGTTGGGAATTAGGATGAAATCTGAAGCCTCCAGAATGGAAAATTAAGGGCACAGTGTGGAGATGGAGAAGGGTTCAAGAAGCAACCTGAGAAAGGCTTCCTTCCCCGGGAAAAGTGCAGAGGCAGAGGGGCAGCAATGGGAGGGTCCAGGACAAGGAAGGATGGGTGAGGGTGGGGGAAATGGGGAGGGACATGGGGACAGTCACCTCAAAGAAGAGAGGCCCTCTGGATGGATTTCATTCCCAGAGATCTCTGGGGACCTTGGAGGGGGAGGTTTCCAAAGAGAAGCCAGCCCCTGGCTGAGCAGCTCAGGGGCCCTGAGGAAGTGGGGCCCAGAAGGTGGGTTGTGAGAGTAGAGAACAGCCTGGGAACGTGAGGCGAGGGCTGTCTGTTTGCTTGTTGGAGCTTTTGCATTCACCTGGACATCTCCCCTCCCCATCTCCCCTCCACCTCTGCCACGGGACCCTCGGGATCATCCACGGTACCCATTTACCCCCCACCCAACTCCTTCTGCCAAATGCTGCAGGTGACACCTGCTGACATCCCTGTGCATTCTGCCTACTTGGCTTTCTGACTGCTTGGATGTCTCTGCTGACCTCTGGCCTTTGACCTCGATTCATCCACAGACTCTGAGGGCCAGGAAGAACTTCCGAAGTCACCTCCTCCAACTCTAGGCTCTCCCTATACATCTCTCCTTTATCAAAGCAATACATTTTGAGAGTTTACAAGAGGAAATGAGGCAAAAAATGATAAAAATAAAAAAAATGCTCCTCATAAAGAGCCAACAGCAACAACAACATCTCCTAAAAATATTTTTCTGACCTGCTGCGGAAAAGATCTAGTGAATGAAACCTACTCTTCAGTTAGTAGCACATCCTTATCTTCAGTCCGCAAATGCCCTTCTTGTCTTACTTATTTTTCCACTTAATTACTGTCCCTCCCCCTCCCAGGGCAACCTTTGAAGTCTTTCTTGGACTTTTATTTGTAGATGGCTTGGTAAAACATATTGCTGCATCGTGTGCTTATGTGCTGAATTAACACAATACTATTGTAGGATCGCTCTGTTTCTTGCTTTTCCTCACTGCCACGTTGCCCTCGCACATTCCCAGGAGCGGACTGGACGTGACCCCATCTCTCTGGTGGCACAGGGATGCTGTCGTGAGCCTTCCTCTTAGCACCGACGTGAGGGAGCCCCTGGGACACTTACCCAGAGACAGGACCACTGGATCATAGAGGAAAGCACACTTAGGTGGCTGAGCCCGTGCACCTGTCACCAGCTTGCCCACAAGTCCTTACATCACAGTCATCTCCTCTCGCCCAGGGTTTATCCAGGTGTCTGATTGGTATTAGTCTGACGGACATCCAATAATGTTTTGTCGTTCTGTGAGTTTCCATTTCTCTGGTCACTGGTGAGCTTGGGCATCAATTCACACACAGCCTTTGCATGCCCGCTTTTGGGAATTAACTATTCATGTTCTTTGTGAGCCTTTCTCTGTCTTCCTACTGACGTGCCGGCTTTCCCTTCCGTATTCCACATCCAAGTCTCTTGTTGGTTTTGGACACTGTGCTGTGACCTCTCAACCTGGCCTTTCGCTGTGAATTTTGTCCATGGTGTTGTCACTGAACCACAATAGTGACTGTTGATGGGGGTTCATCTCCAGACAGCTTTCCCTCCCCACAGGTCACGATTTATTCTTTGACATTATTTTCTGCTAACTTTATAGTTTTACCTTCACGCTTGGGTCTTTACTCCATCTAGAGTCACATATGGGTCCAGGGAGCGACCCAGCTTAGTTTTTCTCTATTGTTGTGAGCCAGTTTTCACAGCGTGGTCTTCTCCAGACTCAGCCCCTTCCCTCGCTGATTACGTTCTACTGTTTCTGTGTGATCTTGTCCTGGGACTGTACCGTTTTATCTCCACGGCTTTGTCGGTCCTGTCATCCCCAGGGCACACACACCTGTAGCTGGTCCGACAGGGGCTGCCCTTTGCTGACACCCCCACCTTCCCTTCCACTTTCATCACGAAATCCTATGTCGATAGCAGCACCAGCTTTGTTTAGTTTCCCTTGTTTATCAAAAACTTGAAAGCAGATTTTTTAGGAACTGAAATCATTCAATATATCTGTAGCTTCAGGGACATAGGGACCCATTGAGACACTGATTTGGGATTGAGAGAGAGGCCTTGCCTCCTCGAGCTGTGGGTTTGCGGGCCCTGGGGCTCTTGTCCACGTAGCCAGGACGGGGAAGGTGGTGCCAGAGGCTTTGCGTCTCCGCGGAGTCAGCCCTGCTAGACTGGCTTCACTGGGTGCACAGTCACAGGGATCCCCATACAGCTTTTAGATGTTGGCAGAAAACACCCTGGAGTCAATGGAAAAAGTCCTGCTACTGTGTTATTTTTGTGTAGTTAAGGCTTTAAACAATTACCCATTGCTTTCCCCGACATCCTCTATTCAGTGAGCTCGGGTGCCCCTTGCCCCAAGCACGGCGCTTCCAGCATGCTCTGGTTTTCGGCAGAACTTTCCTGTACCTCATCCTGGGATCACAACCTCCCGGTGCATGCCATCAAGCACCCCCGCACCCCCAGGCTGACAGACAGGTGTGTGCATCTCTCTAGGAACGGCTCAGCCGCAGGAGGAGGAGACTCCGAAGAGACCTGAGGGCGCTCTGCCGGCTCAGAGCGCAGGAAGAGGAGAAGCTGTGGGCAGTGCAGGTGGGATTCACGGGGTCCCGGGAGGGGCGCCTCTGAGGGTCCTGGCGGCCAGATGCCCTGTTCTGGCCACCATGTCTGAGCAGCCTGATGGGTGTGTCGGGAGGGGGGCCTGGGGGCCAGAAGCCTGCGGGCTGGGTGACTCGGGTCACATCCAGCCTTGTGATCTTCGTGTGGTTTAAACGTGCGTCGAAGCCAGTCTCATCCGCCCGGCTCGCAGCGACCATCAAAGCCGACGAGCAGCTCACCACTGGAAATCACACAAACCGTAGGCCTTTGTCTCTGATGGGCGTGGACACGCTGAAGGTGCAGACCGCGAGGCCCCCGAAGACTGTCTGTCTGCCCCTCTTGCTCCCGTAAATGTGGGGTCTCTCCTCCGCCTGGGACGGGCAGGGAGCTCCGGGCAGGCTGTGCTGTGGCCTCTGTGGATAGTCTGAGAGTGTGGGGTGGGGGAAAGCGTTCTCGCGGGAATACCCAGAGGCTGAAGGGCCGGGAGGGGCGCACCGACGCCGAGTCTCTGGGAATCCGCTTTCTGTAGGCCCAGGTAGGCTGTGGGACCTGCAGGCTGGAGGCTGAGCTGGAGAGCCAGCCACAGAGCAGGAGGGAGCAGGATGCCCCCCTCAAGCAGTGGCCAGACCCGCTGGAGAACACGCCGGCCCCGGGTGCCAGAATCCTGGACGTGTCGCGGGCCACAGCGCAGCTCCGCAGCCTGGTCGCAGCTCTGGACAAGACCACCAAGGGACTGGGTGTGGACACTCTGAAGGTGCAGACCGCGAGGCCCCCTGAAGTCTGCGCTCCTCCTCAGTAGCCGGGGGCACCTGCTGGCTGGTGTGACAGGGACAGGCTTCCCTGGACGCGCGGGGCAGAGTAGGGCACCGGGGAGCGGTGCCCCCTCTGGTTCTGTGTGGCGCCCGGTGACAGGTTGGGGAGGGGGTTGCAGGTGGCAGGAACCTGGGAACCCACTGTGACTGTCACTCTCTTGCCCTTTGTCCTAGGAGGCCAGAGACTTACTGGACAGGTAGGAGCCGTCCCGTCTCCCACGCTCGCCCGCGCAGCCACACCCACAAACACACACCTGCGCTCGGCCTCACCACGGACTGGGGGATCCCTGGCCCGTCGCTCGTGTCCCGTCATGCAGCACGGCCAGCAAACAATTCAACAGGGCATACTGAAGAATTTCTTTGTTTCTAGGAGCGCACCACAGAAATTAGAGGCTGTGTACCCCCAGCTGGAGAAAAGAATCCAGCCGTGCCTTCTGCCATCCTCAGCGGCTCCGACCTGCCCATTCCCGGGCCACCTTGCCTCAGACTCGCCTTCACCTCCTGGCTCTCCCTCTCCCAGCCCATCCAGCCCCCCACGAGGTCAGCCCAGGATGTCCTCACCACCCCCATCTCCCGAACGTGAGCCCCTGAGCTCATCCCCGCAGCTGGGACCCGATGCCCGAGCGTCGGACCCAGGCACAGGGGTCACGGCCTCCTTCCCGAGCTACGCTCCTGCTCACGGCTGCCCCCACACGCGTCAGGGCCCATGGCCTCCGCTCAGTCTGAGAGCAGATGGTGGTACCCTCACGATGTACTAGGACAGGAACGCCCAGACGCCCGGGGGGGCCCGCACGCCTGCACGGGACCCCCGCTCCCGCTCCATACTTCCGTGACCCCCCTTCCTGTGAGCAGGACTGAGACTGGAATGGGATACAGCAAAGGGCATGGAGTGTCCCTCCGGAGACTGTGCTGTGTGGTCACGGCTGGTACGACTCCTTGGACACCGAACCTGCTGGGCTGAGGAAGGGTGAAGGCTGGCATGGGGACCAGCAGGCGGCCCCTCCGGCCAGCAACAGCCTCCAGCCGCCAGCCCACAGGCAGCAGGGCCCTCAGTCCTGTCGCTGCAAGAACGTGAGCCCTGCCAACCATCTGAGTGAGCCTCCGGGAGGCCCGGGCCTGCTGCGCCCTGCTTGCGGCCTGGGGAGACCCCAGGCAGAGGATCTGCCGGGCCCGGGACACCCAGACACTGACAGGGGTCTCAGGCGCGGGAGTGGAGCCAAACCCCCAAATGCAGATGTGCCGTGTGTGTCCTTGCTCTTCGCTCCCTGCTGATTTGGGATGGCTGGTCAGCCTGCACAGGTCTTGTTCTCTCACGTACACAGTGGGCTTACTAGTGCCAACACCCTCCTCACCGGCTGTTGGGGGATGTGTCAGAGGAGAGTTCCATGTGTGTTTCCTAGCTCTTCCTCCGAGGCCTGGTTTTGCCCCCTCACCACCCCGGCCACAGCTTCCCACGACGCCTGGCTAATGGTGGAAAACCCCATTTCCTTCTTTACACGTCTGTTCTTACAACAAGCTTTTCTTTTTTGGGACTAACTCGAGGGAGTCTCTGTTCTCAGTACTAGAAAGCGCCGCTGCCGTGTAGGGTGTGAAAACCTCAGGTGAGCCCACGGCGGTCAGGACGGGGCTGCACCCCTCCCGTGGGGGCCTGGGGAGGTGGCGGGAGGAGGGGCTCAGACCCGAGCACTTCTGGGGAGGGCAGGGGCCCCGAGGGCAGATCTGGGACAAGCAGAGCAGCCGGGCTGAGTCACCGAGTCACCCCGTGGAGGGATCCACCCTCCTCCTCTGCACAGAGGCCCCCGCTCCAGGTCAGGTCAGCAGAACTGAGGGTTGGACGCACAGTCTGAGCATCTTCACTCACTAGCAGTTGTATTTCTCAGCGAGGGAAACAAGTTGTCTTTTGGGATGCAGGCCCCTCGTGGGGGGTGTGGCCGCCGTTAGGTTGTTCACCGGGACCCTGCGCACCTGTTTCTGAACGAGGCATGCCCCGCAGTGGTTCAGGCCCCTTAGTCAGATGGGCTTCCAATCCTGGCTGCGTGATCTCAGCTGTGCAGACACCCACGCTTCACCGGAAGGTACCAGCAGGAAGCACCTCTTGCAGTGACCAAGGTTAGGGGACATAAAGCACGCCCGTCCTCCCACAGGTGGAGACCCTGTAGGCCAATTGTCATTTAACAGGACCTGCTAACACCAATAAAAATACACAGAAAAGCACAATCCACTTCTTGGTGGAACCCCAGGTTTGGGGCTTTGGATGTGTATTATCATCATACAGAAACTCAAATGTGCCTATTGTTTGGAATATACAACATTTTCTGTGACTGTATTTTATAGACAATGAGAACATGCCCAGAGGAAGCGGTCAGCCCCTGTGCAGCCCCTGCCCCTGGGCCCACGTCTCCTCTACCTGCTGACCCGAGGCGGAGAGGCAGACCCCCGCGCCCAGGGCCTCAGCCTGCACAGGCCTCCTGGGCCCCGGTGGGGAGGTGACCGAACACCTCAGTTTGTGTCCAAGCAGAGCAAACACATGTATTAAAGAGGTTGTCAGTGAGTGGTACCTTTAAACAGAGTGAAAGCAACCAGGAAACAAAAGGTGTGGAGACCATACTTCTACTGGGCATAGGATCTCACATTCCACCCTGGGGCGGCTGACGTCATTCTCCGAATTCCAGGCTTGTCCCTGAAGGCCCAGAGCCTCGTCAATGCTGCTGCAGGTCACCCAGCATGCCCCGAGGGGACTCAGCAGCCCTGCCGTCTCTGCCCCTGCGGTGGAGCTCTCTGAGCCTCATCCCTTCCCACCCTCAGACGGTGAGCTCACCGCAGCAGGAACGGGGTTCTCCGCAGGGGAGAGTGCGGGCTGTGGGTTACCGTGTGCGGCCAGGCCTCCCTCACCTCTCTCAGCCGGACGTGCCCCCGGGGTAGAGAGGCCTCGGCTGGTGTCAGGGTCTCATGGCCCAGCGTCGAAGGGCTGCAGGGTCAGCCAGCCGGGTGTCTGCCAACCCTCCTCCCCTGACTCAGCTCTCGAGTCTCCTACAGCTGTCCTCCCCAGGAAGCCCTCCCCGCTGCTGGGCCCCTTGCCCTGAGCTCCCCACACACAGGGCAGCCCGCCCAGCACCTGCCGCCCCCACTGCCATGTCCTCTCCCTGCCTCTGTCTGGTCCCTGAGTTCCTCCAGATACCAAACAGACTTTCCTTTCATTTTCATACCACCAGTGGTGACCATCCTGCCTCGTTCACAGGTAGCACCCAGGAAATGTTTCTCGAAGGTTCATGTATATGAACCCTCATTTTTCCGGAAAAAGATGTAATGAAGACAGGTGCCCAAGATCACACAACGGTCGGCCACAGGCTGGTCTGGAGCCCGGTCTTCTGGCTCCAGACCTGGGTCTCCTGTGTCTGCTCGGACCGTTGGGCCGCGTCCCCGGAGCCCCTGGCCCCCGGGGGTCAGGGAAATGGTCACCCACTTTGTCCTTGCAAGTCCTTAGTCTGCCGCGCTTCTGCCCAACGCCAGGTGAGCCCGCAGGGTCAAGTTCGTCTGACGGGAGGGTGACTCAGGAACTCACGGAGAAGCTAGACCCTCGGCCCCAGAGCCCAAAGAAGGGAAAGACCTTCTGGGTGAAGGAGGCCGTGAAGGTGTAGATGGGCTCCTGGCTGACAGCGTTGACGAAGGTCACCCAGCCCACCTCATAGTCCAGGGACACGCGCACCTGCCGCGGCTGCTCCCCCAGCGCCAGCCGCGTGGGGAAGGAGCCCAGCGCCGACACGAAGCCCCAGGCCAGCCTCAGGGCCCACACGCCCTCCTCCGGCCGCAGGCGCAGCTCCCCCTTCCGCGCCACGTCCTCGCTCACCACGCCCACCGTGCAGCTGCCGCCGTGGGCCAGGTCCACCTTCACCAGCCACGTGTGTCTCCCCTCTGTGAAGCCGCCGTGGGCCAGGACACAGGTGGCCCGGTCAAAACGCTGGGGGTTGTCCGGCGAGTTCTGCCACTTGTAGGAGAACTGGGCGCGCCGCTGGTCCTCAGACAAGAGGAGCTTGGGGTGGGAGGTCTGGGGGTCCAGACAGATGTCAGCTGCGGGGGACAGAGGCGTCAGCAGACATCTATCACCTGCAGGAGGACTAAAAGCCCTGCCTCCACCCGCTAGTGTCCTTCTCCACGTCGCCTGTGTGTGCGCGAGAGTCCGGGCTGACCGGCTGCGTGGGCGTCACCCGGGACGGTGGTAGAAATCCCCACGCTCCGACTTCACCCCAGACCACCCCGAGCAGAGTCTGGGCTCTGAGCTGGGGACTGGCGCGTTACCGCCTGCCCACAGGACGCCTGGCTCCCACAGGGCGCCTGGCTCCCGCACGCCCGCCATCATTGGCTCCGCGCGGTCCTCGGAAAGCATCTCTGTCCCTGCAAATGGGTGGTCTCCCAAGGCCGCGCCCGCTGCCGCCGACACCCGCCCCCCTCCTGCGTCTGAGATCTCAGAGGGCAGAGACGCCTCGGCTCCACCCGAACGTCAGGGCGCATTCACCATCTGCTCCCGCGAGCTCTCTGGCTCGTCTGCGGGTTATTCCTGCTGCCTCAGTCATTTTAAGACCACCAGAGTCAGAGGACCACTTCTTAGCACAAAAAGCTCCCAGGCACCCTGCCCAGTGTGGCTTTTAATATCCGTTAAATTGAGACACTCGTAAATTCCGATGTGGCGACGGGTCAGAGAGTCCCTTCCAACAACGCGACTCCCCGGGTCTCTGGCTGACAGACGCCCTGGGTGGCGTCCTGCCACCGGCCGCCTTCCCTCCAGCTCCCCTAACTGTGAAGCTCCACCTGACGGGGGGCGGTTTCCAGGGACTCCAACAATGGGCTCCTAAACCCAGATCAAAGTCCCCTCGCCCAGGAAGCCCTTCCTGATTGCCCTCGTCCTGTTCGGGTCTGACCTTTCTCCCGGCCTGTGACGAGCAGATGAGAACATGCGCTCCGAGCCAGGGGGTGTGTGTGCGCGCGCGCGTGCGCGCGCGGGTGTGCGTGGGCGGGTACCCTACGCAATGCGGCCCCCCCACTCCCTCGCGTCCCAGGCTGCCTACCTGGCTCATAGTCCAACTCGAAGCAGAGTTTCTCTGTAAAGAGGACACAAACCAGGATGAGATCCCATCCACTGCATGAATGGATAAGGGGCTTAATTTATTTCTTACTGTCCTTGGAAACAATTTTGGGAATAGTCAAAGGTTAGGTTTGATTAGAGGACAATGTCCGTCACGGCCCGGCCCGAGTTTGAGTGTGGGCTCGCCCGGGGCGATGCTGCTATGGGCGGGCCACGGGGCGGCATCATTGCGGGCGTCCGAAGGGTGCTGGCGGAGAGCGGCGCGCCTGACTCATTCCCCATTATCACGCCCTTTCCCACCAGCACCGCCAGTTCCAGGAAAGCCAGAAGAGTTCCCCGCAGGGGCCTGGAGCGCCCGCCGGATGGGGGGATGCGAGAGAGTCAGCCCGCCGCACAGTGCGGAGAAACGCTATCTCTGGTTACTAATTAACCGTGTTCATCATCAGAAACTTATCATGTATTACAAGGGCCTCTGTAGATTTTTTAAATTATTGGGAATGGCAGGTTTTGTTAATCATTACTTTTTATATTGTTCAAGGTCAGCGGATCAGCTTTATTTGTGTAATTACTTTTCAAGCCAGTTAATTTTTTTTTTTTTCAGAAATCTTCATCTTTACTATCTCTGTTAAGTGTCATGTTATCCCGATAGGCAGATTTTATAAAGATGTGCAAGTAAGGATGGCCAAGGAAGGCACCAGAAGGGTACCAGCCAAAGGCCACTCAAGCCTCTGGCAGTGGAGCATGGGGGGCGTTCCTAGGCCTGGGCTTCATGGACTCCCGCCCCCGGGGAGCCCTGGGGTCCTCTTACCCAGAAACATCTTCATCTTCCTCTGCAGAGGGATGGCCTGCTGGGGGAAGTCCCGAATCCTCTGGCCCAGCTCAGGGGACACAGCCTCTGGTTTCCGGCACTTTCTGGTTTCACATCTAGGGGCACAGAAATAGTGGGGTTTGGGAATTCTCCAGACCCAGCTGGCTGCCTGCGAACTGTGCACGGAGACGGACACAGGCAGACACACTTCCTCAGGGACGCACCCCACTGCCCAGGCTTGGGCAACTGCCCGTGCAAATGCATGCGCATGCATGAAGGTGTGCCCTGCCGGCGTGCAATAGCCAGATGCGCGAAGCAGTTTGTGTGCATGCCCTCGGAGGATGACGGAATGGCAGCTTACCTTATCAGAGTACTTCTGATGTCCTAGGAGAGAGAGGGGAGAGGAATTCAGCAAAGACAAATACCACATTCCCACATAGGAAAAAGGGCCCAAGATCCTGTAGGCACAGAGTTTTGGGGTTGATGAGGTGTCTGGGGTCACAGAGGCCACTCCTTTATCTCATGCATCCACACACTGGAGGGACCTGCCTGCAGCTGGAGGCCAAGGCCCCTGCTCTCAGTCCCATAAACCAGGAGTGTGGCCCCCAATCATGCTGCCCTTCTGATGCCTTGTTGGGACCCCGATATCTTCCCTCAGGTGCCACAGACCAGGAAGAACTTCCTGAGGGTGGCGACACAACATAGTCTGCCTTGGAAACAGCACGTGACATCTGTTTGCAGAGCACGTGATGCTTTCCAGACTGCTAGCTTCCACTGCATTTTCCTGTTGGATCCTCACAGAACCCCTGACAGGTAGGTAAGGGAAGGAGCCCCCCGATTAGATGGATGTGGGCCGCACAGTGAGAGGCCGGGGAGCAGAGTGACCGGGGGACTGTCCGGGGAGCAGGGACAGGAGTTCAGGACCTGTCTTGCACACGGGATGCAGGGACATGGGATGAAGGGCAGGTGGCTCGGACAGTGAGATGCCGGGAGTCAGAGGCTGGCCTGTCGGGGGGCAGGTCTCACCGTCAGGAGCCCCCGGGCCGGCCTCCCGTTCTTCTCCTCCAGTTCGGAGATCAGGCTGCTGAACCGGCAGATCTCCTCGCTGACCAGGACGTCAAAGTCATCCTGTTGCTTCAGGATGTCCCCATCCAGCTTCTCTAGCTGGGCCAGGAGGACGCTCTGCTGTTCCTCCAGGAACTGGCTCAGATGTGCGAACTCGAAGATCACTTTCTGTCTCTTGGTGGCCACCTGACACTGAAGGGGCGGTGGGGGGGAGGCCGGGGGGTGATCCCTCTGTTTCCTTACTTGTCCACCCCTGGCTCCCTCTGGCCCACATCCACGTCCTCCACGCTCGGTGGAAAATCGGAGCCCCCGCCCCAGGTCCCTGCACTGTCCGCACAGCACGAGGCTGCCCCGTGGGCCCAAATGCCTTCGGTCCTTACAGCATTTCCACAAGTGTGGGAGGGCCTGCCGACTTCTACTCCCCACCTCACACAAAAACAGAGATGTGCTAGTTGGTCGGTGCTGGGACTAGAGCGACTTCCCACCGTCTACGCTGGCTACCCTGCCTTGGCTTCAGGGGGCGCTGGATCCCAGGGCAGGCCGGTCCCGGGAGGGCACGGAGACCTACCAGGAGGACTTGTATCCTCTCGTTTTCTCTTGACTGGATTCTTTGAATCTCCTCTCTCTCTTTTCTTAGACACTCAAGACACTTCTGTATTTGCTCCTGGAGAGAAAGAGCATGAAGTTATGTTACATGGAAGCAATGACTCGTGAAGGGGGGTCGGCCCGCTGCCTCCAGGAGGGACGCACCCGAGGGAGGGAGTCCTCCCCTCGCCGCCAACACCCGCACCCGGACTGTCCTTGGCAGCTGGCCCTCTCCGGGCCTTTTCCTTCTAGTTTTGCTCTCCAGGAACTCTGACAGAGCTGTCCCCTCTCCCCGTGCCGGCACAGTCCGTGACTTGGTTTCCCCATCTGAGCCTGGCTGCCTTCAGCTTAAAAACCCTGGTTTGTTTTTCTTTGGTAGGTTAGATCTGGGATCTGTCCCCAGCCTGATATGCCCTTCTTTGAAAGTGTTCCAACTTGCTCGCATATCTCAAAGGGAACACACACACACAATCCTTTCTTGTGAACAGAATCCATTTTCTGTGTATGATTCCAGATGGGAGAAGAAACTTGGATAATATAAAGAGTCGACACTCTGTTTTAAAAACTGCTTGCTCTAGAATAGAGTTAGGAACAGGTATTCACACACAAATGTCCACATAGGGACATTCAGAAATATAATTAATGCTCTCACCGTCAAACGCTAGGGAACTAATCGGCACAGACAGAGGCCCACTTTTACTAGAGCACATGGTGTAAATGACTAAAACGAGCAGGCAGTTAATGGTGGATAAGACTGCACACCACATGTTTACCGGCCCTGCATATAAACACTAGTTTATTTGCAAACACGAGCATGCAGACCTCCCCCCAAACACCACATGCACGGGAACCATGCACACGTTCGTCCACATCACACACTATTTGCACAATTGTTCCCCCAAACGCAGACACCCTCAGAAGCGCCTGCCTGACCCACTGTGGTCACTCAGCCACATCCTGCACGTCCTTGTTGAGGCCCTGGTCTGTGTCGGCCATAAGTAAACAACACGGAACATGCTTCAGCATGCACACCCGGGCTCCTGCCTGAGGGGTGACAGGAAGAGAGAGACCCTGCGTCCCCTGTCCTACCCTGTAGGGCCCTGCTGCGTCCTCCAGGAAGCGCACGGTGTGTGCCCGGTGTTCCCAGGCCTCCCGGCACACCACACACAGCTGCGTCTCATCGTCCTCACAGAAGAAGTAGATCTTTTCCCCGTGCTCCTGGCAGACGTCCTCCTCGTCTGAGCCCAGTGTGGACACCAGCTTGAGGCGCTCGATGTTCTCCACCACGCTGGCCAGCTGCCAGTTGGGCCGGAAGCTCCCAGGGCGGAAAGGCTCCTTGCAGAGGGGGCAGGTGAGGGCTTCCTCGGGGTCTGGGCCTGGGATTTCGCAGTAGCGGGTGAGACAGCCACGACAGAAGTTGTGGCCACAGTCGATGGTGACCGGCTCCCTCAGGGTGCCCTGGCAGATGGGGCAGTTGACCTCGTCCGCCAGGCTGGTCACAGAGGCGGCTGAGGCCATGGCGTGGCTGTGCCCGTTGGCTCCTCAAGGTTACCGTCTGTGCGTGGCTGAGCGGGGAGGATCTGGGAGAACAGCAAGGACACACATTCATCCTCGCACAGCCAGACATGGCACGTCTTAAATACACACCAACACCCTCACGGTCATGGACGAGCGCACGCATGCACACGCACACACAGACATGCTCGCCCAAGGGCAGGGCACCCACCTGCATGCCCGGGTCCTCCTGTCCTCCTCCAAAAGGAGCAGACACACACGCTCCAGGAGAGGGAGGGAGGAGGGGCCACGGCCTTCCAGACAGGCCCTCAGTTAGTGTCCGGGCTGCTGCCCACAGCCTGGGGCCCTGCGTCGCTCCCGTGCATCCGCACACGCTCACGGTAAACGTGAAGTGGTATCTTGGCCGTCCACAGTCGACAGAAATAGTCCTTGCTTTGGGGTGGGAGGGGGACCCGGTCGGGGAGCAGAGACGCCACACCAGCCCCCTGCAGTAGCACCAGCTGTCTCCAGGGAGATACGGGTATCAGCCAGCGCAGGGCTGCCCAGCGGGCGCAGGGAGCGCGAGGGCGCAGATAAGGTGGCTGTGCTCGCCGAGCACTTCACCGGCCGGGCACCGGCTTCCACCGAGGTTGGAATAAGCCCTGTGTGGGAGCAGGAAGGAAACCCGCCGCAGCCCGCACCTGTTAATGACCCACACCCCAGGCCTGCGTCTGTCCGCGGCGCGCCGCGAGGCCCCCTGGCCGCTCTGGAGCTGAGCCTCCTGGCGGTGAGCGCGCTGCTGGGGCTGCCAGCCCCGCGTGTGCATGGGAAGGTGGGGGCGCAACATGCACTCAGATCTGAGTGTCCCAGAGCCCTGCCCTCACACAAACACCACGTGAGCCACCTGTGCAACTAGTTTCCGTGTACCATATTTGAAAAAGTGAAGTTAATTTTAATATTTATTTATTTTATTTAGCCCCAAATATGATCATTTCCAGTGTAACCAGTCTAAGAATTAGTAATGAGATATTTTGCGTTCCTTCTAACTGATGTATAGTTTGGACAGCCGCGCAATCTCCGCTGGGACCGCCTGCATTCCTGTGCTCAGCGGCGCCGTGGGGCTGGGGGCTCCCGTGCAGGGTGGGGGATGGGCTGCACCCCGGGGAGGGCCAGGGCGGGCGGGAAGGAAATGGGGTACACACACCAGCTCAGGTTCAGAGCGAGGGAAACAGCGCAGGGCGGATCGCTAGCGTCAGAGTGGGAGTTTCCTTGGGTTTTACGCACAGATGCAGGGCCAGATGAAGAACCGAGGTGTGGACCGTCTTGGGGGGCGAGGGCCACGGGGACACCACGGCCGAAGCCAGGAGACTCGGACTGACCCCGCCTCGCAGCTCTTCAGCTCCGTGACCGAGGGGAAGTCACTTCACGTGTCTTTCTGTAAAATGAAGGTAATCATGCCTGTTCCAGAGGGCTGTTATCTGATTGGGTGCAGTAATAGGAAACTACTGAGCCCACATAAATGTGCTTATTAAGTCTGTTATCTCTTGGGCTGAATTTTCTAAATCTTGGGGACATAAATCATTTGTATTAGTTTCTTGCCTTCTCCCGCCTGAAGTTAAAACCTAAAATCGAAGGACTCTGTGACCCAGTGTCACCGTGTTTGGGGGCACTGGGTTCAGGCCTAGCAGCAGTAGAGTTTAGGAGGCCAGCCTGGGTGGATGAGATGACGAGCTAAGGAAGCAGAGGAAGGGCCCCGACCGCGCCTCCCACCGCAGTCTGGACTTTGATGCTGAGAGCACACCTCAGAGCCAGAAGCTGACGGCTCCCACCTGTTCCAATGGCAGGAAGCTGTGTCTCCTCTTTGTGTCTCCACCCCACAGTGGCCAAGGGTGCGGTTCCAGGAAACCCATATCCCTGTGAGGTCATGCACGCTGGGCTTCCCACCCCAGGGACAGAAGGAGACAGAAGGAGTGGAGAACGGGCTGACCAGGCCCCTGCTGGGAATGCTGGGTCATTCGAGGTGCCCTGGAGTTTGAACCCACTCAGCTGATGGGTGGTGACCAGGTGGCGCCTGGTGGCTTCCCAGGCTGAACCCTCCTGCTTTCTGTTCTCAGCCTCCTATTGTGTTCCCTCCATGACTCATGCAGAAGTGACTAATTTCAGGGATCAGGGATTTGTGTGGCCTGAGGCAGAGGCTTCCGTGGACAGGCTGGGGATGGCACTGGGATGCCCTCCACGCCTTCCCATGAGGAGACCGCCTGTCTGGCCTGCAGGGGACCCCCGAAGGATGCAGTGACCCGCGCCTGTGGACACACCTTCTGTGGGGCTGCACGTCCTCCCGCCCTCCCAGATGGGGGCCCAGCCTTCCGGCCAGGTGCTGCTCTGTGCAGTCTGCCAGGAGAAGGAGCCCACGGAGCCTCTCGTGGCCCCTGTGCTCCTGGGCCCTCTGGGGGAGACACGCTGTGAGCAGCACGCTGAGAAGATTTACTTCTTCTGCAAGGTCGATGCTGAGTTCCTCTGTATGGTCTGTCGGGAGGGTCCCTCCCACCGCACCCACCCCGTGGGTGTCCTCGACGCAGCGGTTCAGCCCCACCGGGTAAGATGGATGGCTTTCCTTGGGCCTGTGTGGGCTGGGACAGTGTCCCGTCATCCATAGTGAAGGGAACCGATAGGGATCTGGATGAAGGACCACGGTTCCCCGGGGACCTGAGGCCATTCCCAGGCTTAGCGGGACTCCCGCCTCAGGGGGCCCTACGGGGACAGAGCTGTGGGGTAGAGACACAAGGAGGAGCCACACCAGCAGGCATGAGTGCATGGGAGGGTCTTCTCCCACCATGGGCAGGGTGAACTTGGTCTCCCAGGACCCACACTGGATGTGGGACCTACCGAGGCCCAGACTGCTGGGCTCAGAGGGATGCGAGGGGCCAGCAAGGGCAGCCTGCAGGTGCCACTCTTCCTTGTGAGAAGGGGAGGCCCGACGTGGCCCACCTGTGTCGCCCCCCGCCCCCCACCCCGGGCTGCCCTCAGATCGCTCTGGCCATCCAGTGTCCGGCTCTAGAAGTGATTTCCTTAGAAGTACCTCTTGAATCTTGAACTCGGCCTTGTCCCCACAACCACCTCCAAATGCAGGCTGTTGCCGTCCTCAGCCAGACCTTGCACAGCCTCGAACGCACTCCCTGTCTCCATTCTCACCCTCTGAAGCACCCTCCAATCCACCAAAACACACAGCAGACCATGGTGCACCCCTGTGCCAAACCCTCCTGGGGTCCCCAGCGCCGGGAAAGCCCGTCCTCATCAGCAGGGCCCCAATGCCCTGTACTGAGGACGTGGACCCTGCCTGTCCACCTCAGCCCCAGCCGCCCCCCCAGGCACCGCGTGTCCGGCGGACTGGCCCGTGTGCACCTGCTGTCTCCTGGACGTCTCTGTGGTTCCTGCTTCTGACTCTTCCTCCCAGACTGCTCTCCTCTCCCCGAACTCTTTCTTTTTAAACCACTTCAGCAATTTCTAAGTGTACAGTCGGGGCATGTGGTCCTCGCCACCCCACTGTAAATGCCTGCTGTCTCTGACAGCACACTGGCACACTGACCCCACCTTCGTCTGTCCGTACTTCAGCCATGAGTGACCAGGCTGGAGGCGACCTCGAGGTAATCTCTGCAGGGACACAGACGGGCGCTGTTCACCTTTGACTCTCTCACCATCAGCTGTGCGCCTGGGACTTAGCCGACAAGACCTGTGGACTCAGCCACCTCTTCCTGCCCATTGTTCTCCCCACAGGACCATCTCCGGAACCAGTCGGAAGCTCTGAGCTTGGAGAAGAAAGACATGGAGGACAGACGGAGGCGGGAAGACGGGAAGCTCCAAGCGCTTCTGGTAAAGTGCTTCTGCCCCCTGCTCTCTTGGGGGTTTTCTGAGCAGATTGTGGGGAAGCTTGCTGTCTGGTACTTTTGTACTGTTCTCATTCACTTCCCTGCATCTGTATGAGGGCATTTGGGGTCAAGGCTATGGAATCCCAGAGCTTCACAGCTGGAGATGGTTCTAACATCTAGCCCAAGACCCATCTGACCAGCCATTCTACAGAGCCGAGAGCTGGTCCAGGAGCGTGAGGGTCCACAGAGAGCACAGCCCATGTTCATGAGGACATGGCTACAACCTGGGTCTTTCTCTCTCTTAACATTTATTTATTTGAGAGAGAGAGAGAGAGAGCAGGGAAGAGCAGAGGGAGAGAGACAAGCAGACTCCCCGCTGAGCTCAGAGCCCGACGCGGGGCTGGATCTCACGATCCTGAGATCGTGACCTGAGCTGAAATCGAGTCAGACGCTTCAGCGGGTGAGCCACCAGGCGTCCCTAGAAGCTGGGTGTCTTGACCCGGAGACACCCTTCCCATCCCAGTCTGTGTGCCCGAAAGCACTGCCCTCAGACAGGAAGGGCAGGGCAGAAGCTGGTGCCCGTGTCTGCGTCCAGTCCTGATTGAGGCTGGCCTGCCCACTGCGGGAGGGCGGTGTATCGGTGCGCTCCTCAGTCATCCCGGAGGAAAGCCGCGGTCTGAGAACTTCTGGTGCCCTGAGCAAGGCGGCAGAGCTGGGGGCAGGAAGAGACCCGCAGCACCCCTCTGCTCCCTCCCAAGCATGCTGCGCAGAGGGCGACGTCGGGGCCCCAGAGCGATACCGCACCCTCCGCGCTGACTCGAACCACGGCCTGTTCCCTCAGTGGCTCTCCGATGGGCGACTGCCACCTGCTCCTCCTGACTCTAGGGGAGGCACGGTGGGGTTAGGGCGGTGTTGTAGATGGGGAAGGGTGCTTGAAAAGTTCAACACGGCTCTGAGGGCGTAGGGGGCATTGCTGTGAATCCCCAGCTAAGACAAGAGCACACAGCCCTCACTGCCGCTGGGTCTGTTCTGAGACCCACCTGCTTCTAACGTAGCTGAGGGAGCTAGTCTCTGCATCAGGGGGCCCAGGTGACTCTCCTGCAAGCCGCCTCTTGATCTCTTTCCTGGCCCTGTCTACCTTTCCACCCCTCGCAGACCCACATTGAAGGCAAGAAACAGCAGGTGGACACAGCATTTGAGAGGTTGCAGCGGGAG